TTCAATTCAGATTCGGCCACCGAATCGGGCTGAATCTCCTCCAGATCAAATCAATGACACAACGCTTTGCACAACCCTAATAATCACCACCTTTGTGTGAGCACAGGTCATGTAAGCATTGGTAATAATAAATTCAGCCAGCCTAGGAAGCTAGTATATAGCCTAATAGTAAAGGTTCTGCAGTTGAACAAGGAATCTTTAAGAGGGAAAAAGGTAGAGCTAGACAGGAAAAGAAATCTGGAGAAAAAAAACAAAATACATTTGCACAGAGAAGGAAAGAGACCTAACTCATTAATGTCATGTTGCTTTGTGAACACCATTTGTTTAAACAAATCATGTTGCTATTGCAACCTTTACTCCATATTGTAACATCCTGGCTTAAGACAAGACACATGCAAGTCCTATCAAAAACCAGTCTCATTTTGACAAGGACAGTACACAATAGATGTGATGTATTCATTCTATAGGGTGGAGTACCTCAGGAAGTGTTAATAATGACAGAACCAGAAAGGACCAACACCCATTAAGTTACTCCTTTCTGGGTTCCCTCCTTCCACAGGTTTTTACTTTTAATATATTCCATCCATAGAAACTTGGCAGGGAGAGCTACAGTTGCTCTGCCTAACTATCTAACACCTATTTAAGGATGCTGTTTCTCTGAACAAGATGCTGCCCACTACCAAAATCTAGAGGATTGAGCTAAGGAAAGAGTAAGGGCAAAAAGGGTCTTCTGCCTTGTCTAAGAATGCTGGCCTGAATCAGGACTCACGCAGGGCTCTGTGTTCAGGATTTCTTTTTTTCCCCCCACAGAAGTGTAACTTGTTTGTGCTGTGTTGAGAGAAGAACAACTATAGTTAAGAAATGTCTTTGCTAACTGAGTGATCGTTACATTGCTGCTAAATTGTCTGGGAAGGTATTAATTAAGAAACCAGAGTTCCCACAGCCAAGGACATATGGAGAGCTATAGCTAAGCAAGGTGGGAGAGTGAGGGGTGTACACACTAATTTCAGGACCAGGCAACAAGCATGTGGGATCCCACCACCCAAAGTAGATGCCAGTCATCTGGCCTGCAACATGGTGATATGCCCAAGAGAATCAGAGCTAAAACAGCAATCAAGAATCGGGTACTACCCAGGTTCAGAGGGCTTAGAAGCACACGAGTCTAGCCCAGTGGTGCTCAACATTTTGGCTCTGCAGGCCAGATGAGTGGTGTGGGCCTGTCTGAAGGCCAGATCAGGCCCTGTGGCCTGGCACTGCCCCTTCCCTGGCCCACACCCTGGGATAGGGCCCCGGGGGCCGAGCACCAACCCCTTCTACCCCTTCGTACCAGAATTGGGTTCTGGTGGACAAGCACTGCTATTTCCTGCCCCTTGCATGCTGAGATTGGGCCACATGGGGTGGGTACCACCCTGTCCTGACCCTCTTGCACTGGTTTTGAGTCCCAGGGGCCTGATGCCACCCCCTCCCAGCCCTCCACAGTGGGGTTTAGCCCTGGGGCCTGACTACTCTTCCGGGCCTTGCACACTGGGATTGGGTACAGGACTTGGGGCTCCCTATGGGTTCAAAGATTTAATATCTCCCTCTTCACCAAATTACCAGACCTGTATAGAGCCCCGCAGGTTGGACAACATGGTGCCATGAGCCACTTCCGGCCCACAGGCCAGAGGTTGAGCATCCCTGGTCTAGCCAATCAAGGGAATGGGGTGCTGGTTGTATCAAGGTATCTTTGAGTACCTCTGATTATTGAGTAACGTAAGGTTTAGTTTTGCCAGTTTTTAAGCAAGCTGAAGGTATAAACCAAATCAGAGAAGATTTTTTAGGGTGGACTATGTTTTCTTTCAACATGACTCTTACGTAGTGCCAGTTCCAATGTCTGAACTGGAGTACTGAAGAATTGTCCTTTACTTTTAGAATCTTTGAAGCAAACTTCCTTGCAGTTCATAAATAAAGGTGATTGCTCATAAAAAGTACACTTAGAAAGCAGAGACCACTAAGAAGTTACTATCACAAAATGGTAACTTTAATTCAGCAAAAATTCTCAAAAATCCCCAGAGTTAATACAATAATATCACATAGAAACACATTATGAAGAAATTATGAACTGTGAATGAAAGAACACACATATTACACAGTTTCCTCTGAGGTACAAGAGATGTTGATAACAACACCGAAAAGCCTTACTCTGGAATATCAACTCTAACTAATCCAAAATTAATAAAGGAAGAAAAAGGTTTACAAAATTATGTAATACCAATAAAGTAAAAAACAAACATTGGTAGCTTATTTGGCATACCCAATAGCTACCCACTGCGGAGAATTCTTGCAACAAGTACATATTCCAGGAAGTTATGATTAATCAAAGGATCAGGTGGATTGTAAGTGGAAAAGCAACATTTTATGAACTGTGGCCTCATAAAAACTCTAACACTCACACAGCAGTTTTATTAGTGGCAGCAACAGTCAATGGGAAAAGAACACAATACAACAAAGGAACGTTTGAAAAATTAAGATCCTGGTAAACTTAGATTAAAAGGCTCTTTAAAATCCACAGATTTTTAAATGAAATGGTTCAAAGAAATAATAAAAATGAGTTGTGTGCTAATTACAAAAGCTGAAGAATTCAAGCATAAGAAGTAGTGTTATAATTTTTGTTATAAAATGACGTGCATAGATGTTATTTTACTTTTATTTAGGATTTAGGTTGCTCACTATATAGCCAATTCCTGTAACGAGCAAAACTGTTCAATCAGTTCAATTTTTACACTGTGAATGTCAATGTTTACAATTGTCCATGTTTGTAAAAAATAGGATCTTGATACTACAACGTGATCTGCATGCCTATATGGAGTCCTATGACTGTACTTCAGGATCTGATTGCATTACAGTATTAAGGTGCCAAAATATTACTGAATTTGAACTACTTGCAGCGTCTTTTATGATAATGTTGCACAAAACTACACAGCGGTAACTGTAGATTATACCATTCTCACTAACCTGACTGGTAAAATAAGGTTGCAAATCTCAATCTCCACCACTTTTCAAACCAGTGGCATAACTTAAATAAGCCTTGGTAAAACCCTGCAGGAGAGCAGGAGGGCAGCTGCTGAGACTCAGAAGGGCAAGGGTGCCAGGGGCAGAGGTAATGTGGACAAGGACAGGTGTCTTATCTGCCCCAAGGATTCAAATTCCCCAGTTGCTGCAGGTGCAGGCATAGGGCTACTGCTACTGCCTCACATAGACTACGGGGGGGGGGGCACCATTTTGGTGTCCCCTCTAAGTCAGTACCCAGAACTGGTGGCCCACTCACCCAACTCTTGTTATGCTACTGTCTCAAAAGAGGGATAAAAAGCATGACCTAGTGAATGCCTGACCCTGGAAACCTTTAATTTGTGCCACATCATGCCAAAAACCTTCACAGTTTATGTGCCGCACTGAAAAACGAAACAGATATACGGACAGACAAAAACCCTACATGTGAGAAGGTATGTATGCACCCTAACTTGTGTTAAATCCAAAACAATATGAATTGAAGTCAAACAATTTTTTTTTCCTCCATATTTAATTACACCTTTAAAATATAGTTGTACAAACCAAATACTGAAAACAATGTACAAATGAACTGCATGCTAGAACAAGAGGAAATGTTACCTCCTCTTGTTGTAATACACCAGCTTTACTCGATGCTGTCATTTGATAGTTTCTTAAGAAGAGTATTAAAACAACACTTAATTCATGTCTGGAATATGCATGTAATGTTCAACCCTCAAAATGTCATAGAGCTGCACAGAAATGATCAATGGAAACATATATCAGGTAAAAATGGCAAATGTGAGCATTTGACAGTTACTCATTCAGTTACATAAAAGAGGTAATTAATAAAAAAAGTATTGTTGAATTTGCTTGGAAAATATAGAGAAATTTGTTAAATAAATTATTCTGCAAATTTTATTCAACCAGCTCTATTACAAACCACACTGTAGTTTATGTAGCTACACAATTTCATGTCTGTAAACTAAAGAGACTGCCTCTTTTGAAATGAGTGACATGAATCTCTCAATTCAATATAAACCAGCAAGGAACTTATTTGCATGTTATATAAATTCAGTATTTTATTAGGAATCAAGCTTGATGATTCCCAGAAACAACATAACTTATTTTCTCTTCTTCAGTTTCAATTTGGCATTTTGTAAATATGAAGCAAGCATATGTTTTCTTCCAAGTGTTTTAAAATGTTATATCAAATGGTATTTGGCTTTACTGCAAGAGAAATTAAATTTCTGGCAATGTTTAACTGTGATTTTTTTTATCAAAAGCTCTCTTATTCACTTGGTAGTTCATGAATGCGTATTTGATTAAATTGTTTTAAAACGTAATAAATCAAACATGAGTCTTTAAATATTTTAGTTTGAGACATTAATTCCAAAGCGCAACCCACTAGCTGACCCATTGTTATCACTAATAAAAAAAAAAAAACCTCACATTCTTGTGGAAATACAAGGCTGGTTGGTTTTGCTGGCATTTAATTTACATAAGGCATAAAGAACCCTTATAAAGCAAGGTAATAAAAGCTTGCAAAGTGCAGAGGGAAGGAAAATTTTGTGAGTAACAATCAAGCTACAGACAGGAATAGGAAAAATTTTTTATGCAATTACTAAGGTCTGTGTAGTGAGGGTAGGAAAAAAAAGACTAATGTTTTCATCTTTAAAGCAGAGAAATAATCTATATCTGAAAAGACCACAAAGAGACTACCTACTAAACCTACAGGACAGCAGCAATTTTTGAAAAAAGCTATGCAAACACAGTCACTGATCATGTATGTTGGAAAATGAGGAGGACTTCCAGCTTCTAACACTATTCATTTAAACAGACCACCATCCACCATCTCACTTTGGCAACAGTTTTGTAATTCCTTAGATTGTCTTACAGAAGATGACATGAAAAAAAATGATGAAGACCCTCCTATCGTCTACATTTTATAGGGCTTTTGGGTTTATTTGTTTTTTACTTTTGTAATAAAAGCACATAAATCAGAAATCTGGTACCCTACTGTTTAATAGTTTATATAATACAGTGCCCTTAAGCAAACACATGAACGGGCATGAGGCTTTGACATTTAAAAATTAGGTTCTCACTGATTGTGTGGTTTATTCTGCAGTACTTTGTGAAGTGTGTACGTTTTAAGTGTTTTTCTGTATTACAAAGTTTTAAAGGCATGCTTATCTGGAGATTTTAATTTGATCTCAGTTTGTTTCAAATTAGGACTCCTTAAAAAAATAAAGCTTATCCTTACACTTTACGTACACCAATGGTGCTCAATCTCTGGCCTGAAGGCCAGATCCAGCCTCCAGAACCAAGTCATCTGATGTTCGCCAAGTCACCCCTGAATGAAGGCAGCAGCCTATAAGTACATAAGGGGTGTGCATCAGGATCTGGGTGAAATGCCTGTTAACCAGAGCACCCCAAGGAGCGATAAAGTCCAACAGTCACAAACTCCTGCAAGACCGTTTTAGGCTGGACATAAGGAAAAACTTCTTTACTATCCAAGACCTCAAGGACTGGAATAGACTCCCCCCAGAGGTGCTGCAAGCACCTACTCTGGACAAGTTTAAGAAACATTTGGATGCTTATCTTGCTGGGATCCTTTGACCCTAGCTGACTTTGGGCAGGGGGATGGACCCGATGACCTTACGAGGTCCCTTCCAGCCCTAACGTCTATGAAACCTGGTGCACAGGGCTCTCCCCACAGATCTGGAAATTTGGCAGCAGGGAAGCAGTGGTGTTAATTGTGGCTCCCCTCCTGTCAATTTTCTGGACCCATGGGGACCCCTGCGGGTCAGATAACATGGCCCTGCATGCTAGATTGGGCCAGCACAAGAGCAGGGCAGTAAAGAACCACTCTCATGCATGGCCGGATGTGGGTGCATGGGGTCAGTCTGGTGCACAGCCAGATCTGGCATGTAAAGTCAGTTTGCCACACTGGATCACACCCATGGATTGACCCCATGCACCGACCTCACATGGGATCTAGCCTGTGAACCAACCATGTGCCACTCATCTGGCCCACGGGGCTGTAAGATTGGGCACCACGAACCTACACAAATTTACTTTTTTTTCCTTTTTGTTCAAGGTAAAAAGTTCTGATCCTTTTCACTTTGTAGACACAAAGCTCTGGGGCTGTAAGGAATACAGATAAGAATATAGCAGCCAACAAGAAAGGAAAGAGCACTGAGAACTCCATTCAGTTCCTCTTACCTGTAAATGTCTCTGTACATGGATTGATTCCTGCAAGCCGTTTAGAAGTCCCAAAATCAGAAATTTTTACCACACCGCTGTATGTGTTCACCAGGACATTATCTCCCTGGGGAAGGGGAGGTGGAGAGGTGGGGAAGATGAGGCAAGGTGGATATGAATATACACAACATGTCAACAAGATACCAGAATTGTCATCACTGTTATTTACAATTTTACAAAGACATCTCACTGGGACAGAGGGATTTTCTATATTTTCTTAGATTCCTTCCATGACATCCTACTGAAAGAACTACTTTATTTTTATAGCCAAATTAACTATCTTGCAAGAGGTACTGAAAACCCACAAGAACACTACATAAAGCACACCTACCTTTATATCTCTGTGCACAATCTGGTTCTCATGGAGATATTTAAGCCCTTCCAGGATCTGCTTGGTGTAAAATTTTATGGTGGGTTCTTTCATTGGGCCCCATTTTGATCTCAAGAGAACAGAAAGGCTTCCTGGGTTATGTAAAGAAGAAAATATGTCAAGACAGCACTGATGCAAGGTTAACTTGCAGAGGACGACAGTAATAAACAGAGGATGAGATGAAGCCTTGGGACAATTTCCTGAGCATGGGGCAGGGAGGAGGGGGAGGGGAATATAGTAGGTACCTGCCCCTGAATAAACTCAAATCTTCCCTGGACTCTCTATTTCCTCTGGGGCAGAGTGATTTATTGTAGTCTTTACTTGGTTTAAAT